GCCTCCCGGAGAGGAAGGTACTGTGGTGGCCCCATTGCACAGGTGAGGGAGGGGAGGCACAGAGGACACGCACAGTGCGAGGGCCAGGCTGGACCCAGGCAGTCGCACCTGGAGCGCCTGCTCCCAGCCACCACTCTGGACTCTCTCTTCCCTCATCTACATCTCCGTCTTCCTCTTCCTCTGAGGTCTTCCTCTCCCTCCAGTAGCACCTCCTCTCTCTCCCTTCTCCCCCCTCCCTTCTTTTCTCTCTCATCTCCCGCACACTGTCTCATAGGCACACACACACTCACACACACACACTCTCTCTCTCACACTCACACACAGACTCACACACACAGACTCACTCACACACTCTCTCACACTCACACACTCTCACACTCACACACTCTCTCACACTCACACACATGCACCTACACACGCATCAGGTGCAGCCCACCCCCTGCCAGCCACTGGCCACCCCATCCAGCACAGTGTGGAGGAGGAGAGAGGGAGAGATGCCCAAGAGCCTAGAAGCCCCTCCCAACCCAGTGCGTCTGTGACCTGTGCTGGCAGAACGGAGCAAATCCCACATGGGGTACCAGGCATAGAGAGCTTAACTCCGTGCTCAGAAGGTCAGAGCCCACCCTCCCTATACCTGACGATGATGATTGTTTTGATTAAAGGCCACGACTGGCACAGAGCATAGGTGTGACGGCAGCCTGGCCTGCCTGAGTGGGCCCTGCGGGAGGCCTTGGGGGATACAGGACCTTGAAGGTCAGTAGTCCTGGCCCATCAGAGAGCAGACCTGGACCCACAGAAGGAAAAGCACACGCTCAGGTTCTGTGGAGAGCCAGGCAGAGTGGGCACCGGGCCTGGGTCTGCCGACCGCCCCCCACACAGAGCACCCCTCCTCCTCTGAGTGGGAGCCACCAGGCCTTCAGCTCAGGTGTCCTGCAGCCGTGCCACCCTGAAGGGAGAGTCACGGCAGGGCGGCCGTAGGTGCCAGGCCCGTGGGCACTGGAAGGTGAAATGCTTTGTCTGCAGAGTTTGGCCAAAAGGAGAATTAGCATGGAATTTCCAGCTTAGGCCACCCCACCTAGAAGGTAAGATGTCATTCCCTCCTGGGTACTTATGACCCTCTTCGTCTTTGTCACCAGCACAGAAAGCAATGCATTGTGTATCATGTAGCAGCATTCTGCATGCTCAAAGCGGCCAGCGTCCTCCTTCCTATCTAATCCTGCAGGCTGTAAGGCAGACTGAGTTCGCATTTCCAGCCCCGTTTCACAGACAAGGAAGCAGAGGCCCAGGGACACCACGAGATGTGCCCAAGGTCTTCCCAAGCCAGTCACGAAACACTGTTCTACCACGGGACGCGCCCCTGTGCTCAGTTCTGTGACACCCCCCCCCCCGACAGTTTCAGCCCAGACCACACCTCTGTGCCCCAAACCTGCACATCCAGCTCCCCTCTACATTCCCCGTGCATATTCCCAGAGCACCTCACACTCAGCACCTCCAGACCAAACCTGGCTTCCCCTCCCCTCGCTCCTCAGGCTTGATCCTCAGTCTCACAAGCAGTGTTATCCATCCCACCGGCAAATCTGAGACCTAGATGTTACCTTCAACGCCACTCCCTTTTCCACCCCTGTCCACCCGGCACCAACTCTTTATTTTTTTTAATCCTCACCCGAGGACATTTTTGCAGTTATCTTCAGATAGAGCAGGAGGGAGAGAGGAAAGGAAGAGACAGAGAGAAACATCGATGTGAGAGAGACACATCAAGTGGCTGCCACCCACACGACCCCAACTGGGGTCAGGGACAAACTGCAACCGAGGTACGTGCCCTTAGCGGAAACCGAACCCGGGACTCTCAGGACTGCAGGCCAACGCTCTAACCGCTGAGCAAAACCAGCCAGGGCATCCCAGCACCAAGTCTTCATTCTCCTCTTCAACATCCCCCAGACCCGCCCAGCTCTGCCCACACCCTGCCCCACGTGGTCAGCTGGAGAGCCTTCGCACCGGTTCCCGGTAGCCGCCCTTGGCCCCTTCTTAACCTTGTGCTTCTTAAGATGCAACCCAGACTGTGGCCGTCCCGCTGCTTGACTGGCTCCCATTGCTCTTAGGATAAAGGCAAGCTCTGGAGCATGACCCCCAGGTCCCCAGTGACCCACGAACCCCTGAGTGGCCCAGCCCCAGCCTGCTTCATCTTCCTGAGTGTCCCCCCATGCCCCTCCACCAGCTTCTTATGATCCAGCCCCTTTCCATTCCCTGAACAAGCCATGCTTCCCCCAGCCCTTGCTTGTGCCGCGTCCTCTCCCCGGAACACTCCCTGCACCCCGCCTCTGTTCTACCCCGTTAGCTTCTCCCCTTCCATCAGAGGTCGGCTCCAGCATCACTGCCTCAGGGGAGGCCTCCATGACCCCCCATGAGCTCAGAGGAGGCTCTGAGAGGCATGAAGTATACAGCCTGAAAGCAGGGTAGTGCAGTGGTTAGGCACTCAGAGCCTAGCGTCAGACTGCCTGGGTTTACAAACCCAGCTCCTCCCTCTCTTTGCTGGTGGCCTTGGACAACTACTTAGAACAGTCCCAACATATGCTACGCACCCAATGAACATTAGCCTGTCATAAGCCTCCATGGTGTCATACGGGTATCTTTATTTCATAACACTATCCTGGTTGATAATTATTTATCTGCGTTATCATCTGATGGCATATATCTTCTCCAAGAGAATGTAGACTTTGTAAAGACATGGGCCAGGCCTGCTTTGCGTTCTTTCTGTCTTCCACGCCCAGCCTGGAAGCCGGCACGGTGGCCGGCACTCAGTCTGTACTTACTCACTGGACTCCCAGTCCTCAAGAGCAATGCATCTCGCCGCTCCAGACCGCGCAGCCTTTGCCCAGTACGGTGTATTATGCTCTCAGACAGGGGCGGCCGAACCGCAACTTGCAGGCCAAATACGGCCCACCAACTGTTTCTATAAATAAAGTTTTATTAGAACACAAGCACACCATTTGTTTACATATTGCCTATGGCTGTCTTCATGCTACCATGGCAAAGCTGAGTAGTTGCAACAGAGACCGCATCGCATGGCCAGCAAAGCCAAAAATACTTATTATCTGTTCCTTTGCAGAAAAAGTCTGCCAACGTCTGCTTTAGGTATGTGTACTCTCCTCAAAGCCAAGGCCCATGGTTTCGTGGGGTTGGTATGAGGATTAGACGGGTTAACCCATGGAAGGCACTTAGAAGAGGACCTGGCACATAGGCAGAGCTCATAAGTATTAGTAGGTACAGTGTCGTTCCGTATGCTTACTCACAGGTCAATACATACGTGTTCATGGAACAAATCAGATATTTTCTGCTTCTTGTGATAGATGTTAGCACTAAGACCACACCAGCCTCAGTGGGAAGCCAGAACAACTTGTGGGGAAGTTGTGTCTGGACAGAATGGGGTGGGACATCAGCAATAATAAAAATTGTATCTTTACTATACCCCTTGCAGTGTCAGAAACAGTGCAGATGTTGTTCCATTTATCTTACAAACTGTCGTGCACATGCAGATTGTGCTACGAGGACCTTGTTAACACGCACATTCTGATTCAGTAGCAGGTCCGGGGCCTGTGAGTCTGCATTCCTATGAGCTGGATTTTATTATTGCTCTTCCCACTTTACAGGATGCGGAAACTGAGACTCAGAGAGGTCAAGGCTCTTGCCCAAGGTCACACAGTAAGTGACAAAGCCAGGGCTTGCCCTCGCGTGAGACTAACTGCAAAGTCCACCCTGACTCACTAGCTGGATGGCCTGGGCAAGTTACTTCACCTCTCTGAACGTCGGTTTTCTCTTCTGTCAGTCGGAGCTAAAAACACACCCTGAAGGGCTGTGATGAGGATTAAATTATATAATGTATGTTAGGTACCCACTCAAGACCCGACGCAGAGTGCGTGCTTAACGAATATTCTCTCTCGCCTGGGCCTTCAGTAAGCTTGCACCATCCCTGCGTGCGTACGGAGCTGAGAACGTAGGTAGCTTGGCCTGCATGTCCAGGTGTGCAGGTGTGTGTGTGGTGTGTGCCAGGTGTGCAGGTGTGTGTGCAGGTGTGTGTGGGCTCAAGGATCGTTGGGATATAGTGCCTTATCTTTGAAGCAGCCTGCAGGGAGAGAACATCCACCCAGGTCTGGGGAGGAGGCACCCCATCCCTGCCTGAAGGGAGGGGGAGTGCTGAGAAGGCAGAGGAACCCAGCTGCCCCCCAGCCCATGCCCTCATCCTCTCACCCAGCTAGGGTTCACCTCGTGCATGCCCACCGGATACTATCATTCAGCAAATGTTTGCTGTGAGCCCTCAAAGACTTATCTAGGTGCACTGTCAGAATCAACTCATTTAATTCTCACAACAGTCTTAGGAGGCAGGCACTAATACTACCCCCATTTTACAGGTAAGGAAATTGAGGCACAGAGAGATGAGATCATTTACCCAAACTTACACAGCTAATGAATGCTAACGCCAGATTCAGATTCCATATCCGTGCCGTGTGATTCCCCAGCCCCTACAATGCACTGCCCCTCCATGTGCCCCAAGTACCCCAAAGAGAAAGGAGCTAAAAACTTTGCCTAAGGGAACTTTCACATGGGTTTTGATGGATGAATGGAATTTTCCGGAGTGAAAAAGAGCAGGAAGAACATTCTAGTAAAAAGCTCAGTGTGTCAAAGTCAGAAGCATGCAATGACATGATATGGGATGTTGCCGTGGCTGGACAAGAGGGAGCATAGGCATGAGGCTGGAGCCGGGCAGAGACCAGTCACACGGGGCCCTGTGGGCCTCAAGAGGCACTGTTTGGGCCTGTGGGCCGAGATGAGCCCCTGCAGGGCTGTGAGCTGGGCGGTAGCTCTCTCCCTCTCCCTCCTCCCTAGTATTGCTAAGCAACCTCCACTCCGCGCCGTGCCCTGTCCATAGAACCCCATTCCTGTGTGCTGCCCGCCTCGGCCTCACAGCCACCGTCTTCCTCTCCCTGGCCCTCCATGTTCCGCAGGGGCCGTGAGAGCCTCGAGCATTTTCCCGATCCTGAGTGTGATCCTGCTCTTCATGGGTGGACTCTGCATCGCAGCCAGCGAGTTCTACAAGACTCGACACAACATCATCCTGAGCGCCGGCATCTTCTTCGTGTCCGCAGGTAACGACCACTGAGCCAGGCAGGCCAGAGCCCAGGCCCGCCAGGGGGAGGAGGCTGAGCTTTGGGTGCTCGCTGGCTGGGGGGACCTGGAAGAGAGGGGAGAGGAATCTCCGGCCTTGCAGCAGGTGTATTGAGGGGAAGGCAGGTTGTGCTGGGCTCCTGCCTGAGCCCCACACTGAGTCCTCCAGGAGCATCCCAAGCCCTCTCCTTTAGCCCACTGGCCCCTCCTTCTCCCCCCTCTTAGAAAAGGTCCCACACCCCAGGCCCCTCCCAGGATACTGGGCCTACCCTCACTTACCCTCTCCCCTCACTACCCTGCCCATGTGGAAGCAGCAGGCACCCAAAACCACATTCCTCAGCCCAGTTATATGACTTGTCACATTTGCTTCCAATTCCAGAAAAAGGACATGGGCTGTAACATGAGCCATTTAATAAGAATGACTACTGTTTAAGTAGCACTTAACAAGCCCCAGCCTCCAACAGCTTGCAGCTGTATTAATTCACTGACTCCTCTCCATGGCCCTACAGGAGCAGGTCCTACCCCATCCCCACTCCACAGCTCGGAAACTCAGACTTAGGTGACCTGGGCAAAGGCTTTGCGTCCAGGCAGTCGGGCTCCAGGAGCCAGTCCCAACACCCTGCCGCACCAGCTCCAGATCCCACTGCAGCCTTGAGCAAGTTACCTAGCCTCTCTGTGATCTGTTTCCTCGTGGGCAAACCCCTTGAAAAGCACTCAGCAATGAGGGCAGGTGGTAAATGCTCGATAAACAGTATCTGTTGTTACTATTACCGTCACCCAGCAGCTGTAGAATGCCTCTCCTCGCCCCTCTTCCCTCTCTGTCTCCATTAGCTCTTTCCTTCGTGTCTCCGCCCAGCAAGGTGATGCTTGCCAGCACCCCTGTACTCACCTCCCCACGCACTGAAGGCCCCTCCAACTGTCCTGGCCCTTTTTTTTTTTTTTTTTTAATGGTTTTATTGATTGATTTCAGAAAGAAAAGAAGGGAGGGGCTAGAGAGAGAAAAAAAACATTGATGTGAAAGAGAAAAACCGATTGGCTGCCTCCTGCATGCCCTGCCCCATATGGGGGGGATCAGCCCACAACCCAGGCATGCGCCCTGATGGGGAATCCAACCAGCAACCTTTAGGTGCACAGGGTGGTGCTCAGCCAACCGAGACACACTGGCCAGGGCAACTGTCCCTGTCCTTTATTCCTGCCCAGTGCCTGGCATTCTGTTTGGAAATTAACATCCTTCTCTCTGATTCTGCCCCGCCCCCCCGTGTCCATCCTGTGCCCCACAGGTCTGAGTAACATCATTGGCATCATAGTGTACATATCTGCCAATGCCGGAGACCCCTCCAAGAGCGACTCCAAAAAGAATAGTTACTCGTATGGCTGGTCCTTCTACTTCGGGGCCCTGTCCTTCATCATTGCCGAGATGGTCGGTGTGCTGGCCGTGCACATGTTTATCGACCGGCACAAACAGCTGCGGGCCACGGCCCGCGCCACGGACTACCTCCAGGCCTCTGCCATCACCCGCATCCCCAGCTACCGCTACCGCTACCAGCGCCGCAGCCGCTCCAGCTCCCGCTCCACCGAGCCCTCACACTCCAGGGACGCCTCCCCCGTGGGCCTCAAGGGCTTCAACACCCTGCCGTCCACGGAGATTTCCATGTACACCCTCAGCAGGGACCCCCTGAAGGCCGCCACCACGCCCACCGCCACCTACAACTCCGACAGGGATAACAGCTTCCTCCAAGTTCACAACTGTATCCAGAAGGAGAACAAAGACTCTCTCCACTCCAACACAGCCAACCGCCGGACCACCCCCGTATGAAGCCAGGGGCCTCGCCTGCCGGGTCCCAGGTCCCAGGCCGAGCCCTGAGTGGGGGCGCGGCCCGCGGGGTGGGGTGGGGTGGGGTAGGGTGGGGTGGCGGGAGGGTGGGGGAACCAAACCATCCACGGGGGGGTAAAAACCTTCCAAAAGCAAAAAAACAAAAAAAGAGAAAAACATAAGTAAAGTTTAAAAAAAAAAAAAAAAGAGAACAAAATATAAGAGGAACAAAGAAGCCAAACAACAGAAAATGTGAAAAAAAAAAAACAACAACATAAACGAGGGAAGGAAAAAACAAACTTTAAAAAAAAAAGCAAGAGAGGATAAAAATTAAAAATAGAAAATAAATCTAAAAGAAAATGCATGATTTCCCATGTACCATTATTTTAACATTTAATAAAAACCAATTTAAATGAAAACATAAAAGGGAACTAGAATAACATTAAAGCAAAAAAAAAAAAAGAGAGAGAAGGAACGGAAAGGAAGGGGATGTGCTTTGCATTAATCAGGGCTTTACGTTACTTGTTTGTTTGTTTTGTTAAACTCTGAGAGAGTTACTTTTCAGTTCCCTTTAACCCCAAGCGGGCTCTGCCTCCCTGGGTGAGTGGGGGGTGGAGACTCGGAGGCCCCGGGGCCAGGTGAGCCTCTTGGTCACTGCCAGGTCCCTGGAGCCTCTGGATGGGCGCCCCAGGAATGCTGGGCAAACTCCTGGCTTGCGAGCCCACTCCACCCAGCATCAATGGGGCAATTATAGGCCTCCAGGTGACCCAAGAGTCCTTGGTCCCTCCTGTCCGAAAGGTGCCTGGAGGGGGGTGCACTTGGGGCTTGCCCAGCCCCCAGGTTCCCAGTCTTAATGGTCCTTAACCCACTGTGATGACTTCCTAGGCCTTGAGGGAAAGGAAGGAGAGGGGATGGCTTGCTGAGATGCCCAGAAACCCCGGAATCCTCAGGGTGAGCCTCTTGGGGTCACCACCCCAAGATCCTGTCCTTGGGGGCAGGAGATCCCACCCCCCGGGGATATAAAGCAGCTCTCCCTCCTCACCCCTCACCTCAGGGCCACCCAGTGACCCTGGGGCGATGGTGGACCCCCAGACTCATAGGCCCCCAGTCCCCTGGGAAGGGGGCTCACTGACCCTTTGGGGGTCCTTGGACTCACTGAAGCCCCCTCAGGGTTCAGTGAGTCCAACAATGACATTGCAAAAAGGTTTCTTTTTACAAAAGAAAAAGGAAAAACAAGTGGTGATTTTTTTTTAATAAAAAAAACCACAGACTATAAATAAATGTAAATATATAATAAGTGGATTTACTCGCAAGAAATCAGATAGTATTTTTCTTTTAATTCTTTTCCAGCTTTAAACTGTGAAAACAAAAAATGGGGTGGGGTGGGGGACTTAAAATTTAGCAGGGAACTTGTAAAGAGAAAACAGAAAACAAATATACAAATTCATTTTTTAAAAAATACTGTTGTGAGAGATTAGAGCTGGGCTTAAAGCAGGAGGGAGAGACGGAAGGCCCTAGGGAGCTGCAGGGAGTCCCTGTAACGGAGGCTCTCTTCCTTACACCAGGAAGGTGCTGCTAGTGTGGGAGAGAGAGAGTCACGGTGGAGTCCTCTCTTCATGAAGGAGATCACAGAACACACACACACGCACACGCACACACACGCACAGTCCTTGAAGCCCAGTGCTAGAATCATTCACAAGGATACACATGCCATCCAAACCTCATCCCCACACACAGGCAGAGAGAGGAAGGGCTCCGAGAAGATGACTCATGCCCTCCAAAGCCATGGACAACGACAGCTCCATCCTGGCTTCTGTGCTCACGCGTGCCCTCCACCACATACACGCACACCACCTTGCATGCTTGAAAGGGCGCCACTCTAGAATCCAGCTTTGAATTCTGAAACCCCTTGCTTTGTGGCCTCTCTGGGCCTCAGTTTCCCCCGTGTAATAAGCATGTGGATTGACCCAGACGAGCTCCAAAGGCTCATTCTTATTCTTGACACCAATGACTTTTAAAATATGTCACATGCCCAGAGGAAGATGCCAGAGACAACCAAAATAGCTGCCATCCAGCCCCCAGACATTAAGAACATTTCTGAATTGTTGGTCAGCTATTCAGACACACACACACACACACACACACACACACACACACACACCATATGCCTCCTCACTGTGCTCCCAACCCCCTGCCCCCACATTCAACTTTTTTGTCAAAGCAAAAATTACACACGTGTGAGCAAACGTATCCTGCCATTCAGACGGAGAGGGAAAGGCACCAGAGGTCCCCACTCTTCCTCTCGTGTCCCCTTTAATGCCAGAACCCAGCTGCAGAGAGGGAAGGGGGCTTCCTTGAGAAAAGAGATCAGCCTCCACGCTTCCCCCCTGTCTTTGGGGGCAGAGAAAGAGGATCCTCCAAGGTCTGCTGGGAGTGGTTAAGGCTGGAGGACAGAGAGGAGAAGCTTTACAGTCTGGTCCCAGGGTGAGGACCAACCTCAAAAGTGGAACTTACACCACAGACTGAAGTCTGGGGCGTCCCATGTTGCTCCCTTTCTTCCCGGAGGGGCAGGGGCCAGCTCAGCCAGAGAAGCCCAGCGGCTTTCCAAAGCGCAGCCTGCCGGTCGCTCTGCGGCAGGTAGGGCCTGCCGTCCGCACGGCTCAGATTCCCTGACACCGCCTGGCCTGAAGTTTCTTAAGCTGAGCTCTGGGGAGCTGGGGAAAGTGGCTGGCAAGGCTTTGGGGGTTTGCACACTCCCATCTTTTGTCTGGGAAAGGAAAGCTCTGTTCTCAGGTCAGCAGCAGCTGGAACCCTAAGTTCAGCCTGAACCACAAGGCAGAGCGTCTGCCGGCCCAGCCCGGAAGTTCACAGGAAGCCCCAGGGCCCCAGGGCAGAGCGATGGGGGCCGATGCCAGGGGCCGTGGCAACCTAGTGTTTCTCGGTCTGGGCAGAAATCACGCTCTCTCCCGCCCCACTCCAACCTGGCTCTCCACCCCACCAGATCCCGCGCCTGAAAGGGTCAAGGACTAGAGAGAAGGGTGAGGCCCCAAGAAAACAACAAACAAGCAAACAAGCAGGTGATGTCCAAAGAGGACAACTGGCCCCGATTCTCTGAATTCTGGCAGAGAGTTTGGGGTGGAACCAGTGCTTGTGTCCGGGCCGTGGTCCTGGGTCTTGGGTCCTCTTGAAGGCCGTCCGTGTGGGTGAAGCCCGCTTGGCTGAGACGGGCCGGGCCCGGCGGGAAGAAGCCGGCACGGGGCGGCGGGGACACTGCTTGCCAGGGTTGACGATTGCTCATGTCCAGCTCAAACCAGTTCAAGAAACCAACCTCCATTTTATTTTCTTGGTGGGTCCTTTTTTTTTCAGACTGTTAACAGAAAAACAATTTTAAAAAGCAGAACACTAAAAAAAAGAAAAAAAAAATCCTGGTACATGAAATAAAGATTTTTTTTTTATAGCTTGGTCCTCACTTCGGTGGATTTCTTTGTTTTCTCAACTCCTGGCGGCCCACTTAAACCATCTCGGAGCCACAGACTCTCAGAGTTGCGGGATGAAGACTTGGAAGCCAGGTAGTAGTGTCCCCACAGTCCTCTCATAAACATTCCTTACTGGTACTTGCACTCCTCCAGTGACAGGGGGCTCACCCCAGCCCACACTGGGCAGCCCTCATTGGTGAGTCTCCTCTGCACAATGAATTTCAGTCCACTCTTCCTTTGCATCCAGCAACGCTGAGTGAACCCCTTCCCTTGTCAGCACAACAGCTCCCCAGAAGATCGTGAGCTTCTGCCTTAAGATAAACCAGCCCTACTCAGCAACCCAGCGATAGTCCAGGGTTTCCATCTTCCCCATGAAAGTGTGCGGTCTGGAGGGGACACAACACTCAGAGGGCTCCCTGGAGGGGTGCTCCTTGGAGGGGACTGGGTTGGGAGACAAGTGGGGGGACCCTGGAAGGCGCCCTGGAACTCTCCTGACTTGAAGAGATGGGAAAGGAAAGATGGGATGTGTTCTAGCAGCTGGGCTGCTCTAACGAAACACAATGGGCCGCATGGCTTAAAGCAACAGGCATTTATTTCTGTGGTTCTGGAGGCTGGAAAGGACGAGATCGAGGCACCGGAAGACAGGTTTCTGGTGAGAACGCTCTTCCGGGCTTGCAGAGGGTGCTCTCTCCCAGAGGGAGCAGGAGTTCTGGTCTTCCTGTCACTGCTAAGAACAGTAATCCCGTCGTGGGAGTCCCACGCTCATGACCTCATTTAACTCTACCTCCCAAAGGCACCATCTCCAAGTACTATCACAAGGAGTTAGGGCTTCAACATATGTATTTGGGGGGGGGGGGGGTGCAAAAATTTAGTCCCTAACAGGATGCTAACAGGAGAATTTGACTCTTGACAGTGAAGAAAGGCCCCATTTCGAAACAGCTAGCCCCCAGTGCCCAGCCCTGGTCTGGCCGAGCTACCAGGGCCCGCGATTTGAAGGACTGGCCATGCCTCCCGAAATGCAGTGAATACATCTGATTTAGTTCGTTTTCACTTTAACAACGGTCACACCCGTTGGGAAGGGAGGCAGGAAGGTGTTTCAAAGTCAAATCGAGATTTAAAAACAAACAGAAAAGTACTCACCTGTTGGCAGATTGTAAAAGATTCCTTCCCCTCCCCCTCCCACCGCCTGTGCCCGCCTTCCCACCGCCACCCTGACTGGACTTTGACTCAGACAAGAGGTACAAACTCACACCAATGCCATGACAAGCAGGAAAGAGAAAAGCTGACCAAAGCTTGTTTAAAATGAAAATATTATGATACATTACTCTAAAAAAGGGGGAGGGTGGTTCATTTTGTTCCACTGACAACTCTCATCACAGATTTTTTAAAAGCCTGGAGGTCTCATTCACTGCAGCTGGGATTCACCGGGCCAGGTATTTTAGTAGTTTCCTTTGGAGAGGCCGAAGGTGATCTATGGGGACCAGCCAAGTCACCTTCGAAACAGCCAATGATAATGCGCAGCGATGGGGACAGGGGAGAGTCCCAGAGGTCGTGGTGAGTCCTGACACCGGCCAGGGCTTCTTCACAAGCTCTGGAGGGAAGACAC